CGTCGTACGACGAAAATCGGATGCAGTGTGAATCCAGCAATTGACGTTGACGGAACTCCGGATGTGTTCGGTTTTGTCGCTAATTCACAAAATTAAAGAAACAAACAAGAAATTAAATCGAGATTAAAGTTAATCTTACATTGGCAGAATTAAGTCTCAAGCACTTATAATCATCATTCCGTATTCATCATTCATTAGACATAAAATAAGAATAGACACGCTGAAAATCTAAAAACGTCCAAATACACCGAATACATCCTACATATTCCAGCCTTACAAGGTATATTAATGATGTTGCGAATAGATTGATAATATCGTAATATCCAATAAAATAAAACTTTTAATGAAAAAAGCAATATGTTTAAGTTAGACAGAACGTATTTTAGATACACTCAACGTTAAAAATATTTTCTACCCACATTAAAAAGTCATTTTTATAGCGTTTTCGGTCCGATTGGGTTTGCATCTACCTGGGTTGGATTAATCTTTCCTATTGGTTGACGTTACACGCTCTACCAATAGGAGAGCACAAAACGCCATTAATCCAATCCAGGTTGGTGCAAACCCGGACGGGTCGAAAACGCTATTAGTTTGAAACGATAATAGGTTTGTCCAACATGTTCCAATATGCTCCTACCACAGCTCCTACTCACTCCAACGCGCTTGATAGAGATGGGCTGTATTCCAAATTTACTGCCAGCACAGAAAATGCTACAGTTTACGTTACGTGCACTATAGATATTCAGTGCTGGCAGTCAATTTTGGAATACAGCCTAAAGTTGGTTCTACATTAGGCCGGAATCAGACTGCGCATTGAAGATTGAGATTGAAGATTGAAAAATTCAGATTTGACCAATCGAAACGAAAGGAGCTAAAATTTCTTTGTCCTTATTGGTCAAATTTCAATCTTCAATCTTCAACCTTAATCTTCAATGCGTAGTCTGATTCCGGCCTTAAGATGCGTTCAGGGAGACGCTATTAGCGCTATTTCTGTCATTCTATCCTTGTTTTACGTCTAATAAACAACGAAGATAGAATGACAGAAGTAGCGCTAATAGCGACTCCCTGAACGCACCATCGTTGCGGTTCAATCAACATCAATTTAGCTCGACTCTGATTGGACCACAACGGTTGCGACACTGTGATGCGACTAATGTAGAACTAGCTTTAGAAGGAGCTATTAGTAGAAGCATATTGAAACTTGCGACGCGAACAAACCTAATGACATTTACTTATTGGGTGCATTCAGTACTACGACCGCTCACTGAGCGCTCAGAGAGCTCTTGTATCTGTTTGGTCTATATTTTTAGTTCTAACGGAATATGCCAATCAGATGCAAGAGTTCACTGAACGCTCAGTGAGCGATCGTAGTACTGAATGCACCCATTACATCTGTTCGCGTTGCTTGCATCTTTTGCACTTAGTATCTTCGCTTTCTCTCTCTTCAATGCCCAAATATATACTTATTTCATTTTAAGTGCAAAAAATTTTTCAAGCAATACGAACAGACCAAATTACGTTCAGCAGATTCAACAGTTGGGTGAGCCCTCGCTGTTAGGCAGGAATCAGACTACACATTGAATATTGAGATTGAAGATTGAAAGATTGAAATTTGACCAATCAAAACAATAGGAGCTAAAATTTCTTTGTCCTCACTGGTCAAATTTTAATCTTCAATCTTCAATCTCAATCTTCAATGCGTAGTCTGATTCCGGCCTTATTGGTGTATTCTTCTAAATCATCCAATCAGACTTTTAGATCTAGAAGAATACGTCAATAGCTGCAAGCATCGACTGCGTTCAGCAGAGAAAGCAGCTTTGCAACTGTTGTAAAATTTTTTAATATGATTAGTTTATACATTTAGATCCAATGAGGAACTAAGGGCAAGACCAATCATATTAAAGAATTTTACACAGTTGCAAAGCTGCTTTTTCTTCTGAACGCAGCCACTCTAGAGGTTCATTTACGTCGCATGCTCCAACATGTTCCAATATGCTCCTACTATAGCTCTTTCTCACTCCAACGCGCTTGATAGAGTGAGTAGGAGTTATAGTAGGGGCATATTGGAGCATGTTGGAGCTTGCGACACGAACAAACTTTCAGACTGGCGTCCTATGAGTGGAAATTTACAACGGAACGAAACAGCGAGACCAATCATAATCGCAGAAAAGAAAGCAGAGTAATGACTGCAGAGTTGCGATTGGTCACACTGTTTCGTTCCGCAATAAATTTCCGCTCCACGGAACGCCGGCCACAGCTGTGAAGTCTGCAGTCAACATTACGTTACCAACAATAGAAAATCATCGCGAATCTCGGTCGGTAATATCAACGCTCTACAATTACCAAGTACGAGCTCCACCTGACCCACCTGACAATTGTCGAGAATTTGCTTACGGTTGCGAAGCGAATCCTCGAAAGACAACGTCGGCGGTCGGCGACGGTTACGTCGCGGAAACGCTGAACGTCGCTGCTGCGAGGGAATCGCTTCCCTAGCAACCCATCCGTTCTCCACCCGCCCGCACCCGTCTATCCACCCGTCTGTGTCAATCCTCTCGCCCTACCGTCCGTGGCTCGGTGGCTCCGTTGTAGCGTGCGTGCCGTATTGCCGTATACAGCAGGACGTCCACTGGTGAGATGTGCCTCTGCCTGTCCGTCGCAACTGCGTCGCGGGGTCTGTCGTCGGACGGCGCGACAGCGTGAAAATGGCGGTGTGAGGAAATGGCAGGACGCAGATCGACGCTGTCGAATGCGGCGGACTCGCTGCCAGGATCGGGCGGCGGCGGTGGCGGGGGGGGATTGAAGCCTGCAAGACCGGCGATCTCGCCAAGGTAAAGGCGTTGGTCAACCCGAAGACGGTCAACGCCCGCGACACTGCCGGACGCAAGTCCACCCCTCTGCACTTTGCAGCTGGTGAGTCATATTTGAAACCCGTTCCTGATCTCCGCTCTGTTCGTTCGAGAGTTACTTCCTAGATTGCATCTCTGGATGTTGTAAACTTCGGAACTCCTTGTAAACACGTGGACGCTGATGGCCGAGGGAGGTTAATGAGCCTACGAGTCGTGTTCAGCTGATCGTAACTTGAGCGGAGCTGTCAAGTAGTAATCATGTGCGATAACTTCCTCGCCATTAACACATAATTGTGAGAACGTGCTTGACGGACTCTTGAATAAATGTGTTTGTGGAATTTTTTCCACGAGAACAGGGAAAAAAAAAATTTTATGTAGGTTATTGAAAGCAATTCTTTACTACAAATTTTTCACGTTAAAAACTCCCAATGGATTTATGAATATCAATCTTTATATTTTTTTTTAGTTGCCATAACATTTTGTATGCTATAACATTTTCAGAATTATTGTGAATATATAACTCTGTTGAAAAATAGTTTTATCTTGAATATATATAATTGTATTGAACAAGTAGTTTAATCTTTTTAACAAAGTAATTATGAACAAGTGATAATTAATAAAATAATTATTAATAAAAGTTTAAAAAATAATTTTATTAATGCTATGTATGTTTAATTCAATATGTTTGTATGTATATGTAGCAAAAAAATATAGGAATGACTTTATGACTTTTAAATAAATAGAACCTATAATTTATTAAAACTTAATAAATTTGATAGGTATAATTATTTATGTGATTTAATTGTTCATAACTATATTATATGAATCATTTTTCATCATTCTTATCTCATTATATATACTTCCTTGATCTTTCAGATGGGTTTTTATACATGTAATTATATGAAATGTATATTATTTTATAGGATATGGTAGAAAGGATGTTGTAGAATTTCTTCTGTCTGCTGGTGCGTCGATCCAAGCACGCGACGACGGTGGTCTACATCCATTACACAATGCTTGTTCCTTTGGACATTGTGATGTTGTAAGATTATTATTAGAAGCAGGAGCAAGTCCAAATACAAGAGATAATTGGAACTTCACGCCTTTGCATGAGGCAGCGATTAAGGTGCTTATTTTGTAGCACTTATACTTACGTGATTTTATCATTAGTACTAAAGGCTGAAGATGGAAATGGTGTCTAACTTTTTCATCTTCATTTGTACTTGACAGGGTAAAATAGACGTATGTATTACTCTGCTACAGCATGGAGCAGATGTAAACATTAGGAATACAGAAGGAAAGACTGCATTAGAAGTAGCAGATGTCTCTACAAAACCAGTACTAACAGGAGAATATAGGAAAGATGAACTCTTAGAAGCGGCTAGATCCGGAAACGAGGAACGATTGTTGCAACTACTAAATCCTCTTAATGTCAATTGTCACGCCAGTGACGGAAGAAGATCTACGCCTTTACACTTGGCGGCTGGTTATAATAGATCTAGGGTTGTACAGATTCTTCTTCAGAATGGTGCAGATGTCCATGCCAAGGATAAAGGGTTGGTATATGCAAACTTTAATTGTCAACTTGTAAATCAGTATGTAATTTAATGTTACTTTATAATAAGAAAAATCTTTTTTCTTGCTTCTATTCATATTTTTTTTATTTTATTCGTATTTCCTTTTTATTTCTATCATATTTACTGTGTTCTTATTAAATTTAAATGATATCAAAATCTGATTAAGATCCATTAAAATCCTAATTGATTTTATAGAGGTCTCGTGCCGCTTCATAACGCCTGTTCGTATGGCCATTTTGAAGTAACCGAGGCGCTCCTGAAGCACGGTGCCGCCGTTAATGCCAGTGACCTCTGGACATTCACTCCATTGCACGAAGCTGCGAGTAAGTCTAGAGCAGAGGTCTGTTCCTTGTTGTTGAGCGAAGGCGCCGACCCGACGCAATTAAACTGCCATAGTAAGAGCGCCATTGACGTAGCACCGACCCTCGAATTACAAGAAAGACTAGCGTGTAAGTTCGGAGTGGATGAATCTATCATACTTTCTATTCTTGTCATTTGATTCGTAAATATTTTAATCATTATGCATATTTTACAATTAATGTCTCATGTATGACTTACAGATGAATATAAGGGTCATTGTCTATTGGACGCCTGCAGGCAGGCAGATCTTACTAAGCTTAAAAAGTATCTGTCGCAAGAGATCGTTAATTTCAAACATCCTTATACTGGCGATACACCGATGCATTGCGCAGTAGCGTCACCGTATCCGAAGCGAAAGCAAGTTATCGAGGCCTTGATTCGAAAGAATGCTGCCATGAATGAGAAAAATAAAGACTTTCTTACGCCGCTTCATGTAGCAACCGATCATTCGCATTATGATGCGATGGATATATTGTTGCGGCATAATGCGAAAGTCAACGCGCTAGACGGCTTAGGACAAACCGCGCTGCACAGGTATCTTTGTTCTGGAAAACCACTCGTCATCATGAGAAATGAGTGAGCCAATTTTAATATTATTAGTTCATAATACGTCAATTAATTATTTCCTTACTAGGTGTGCTAGAGAGGATAACGTACAAGCTTGCAGAATACTCTTGTCGTATAATATCGACCCTTCGATAGTGTCCCTTCAAGGGTACACTGCGGCACAAATTTCTGCTGAGAACGTATTGAAAATATTGCAAGGTAAGTTACGTAGGAACCTATTTTGTAATTTTTAACGACTGCGACTGTAGTGTTACAGTGTCGTTGCGCAGGTTTTGTTTTTTATATTGTAAAAAAGCTGCGCAACGATACTGTAACGCTACAGTTACAGTCGTTAAGAGTAATAGAATAGGCCTCTTAATCTGATTTCGCAATTTATTTTGAGGGGAATATTTTTATCTTTATTTTTTATTATGTAGATCCACCGAATGGAACTGACGATGTGGAAGCACAACTCTTAGAGGCGAGCAAATCGGGCGATCTTGCTGCCGTAGAAAGAATCTTGCAAGCCAATCCACATGCTGTGAATTGTCGCGATTTGGACGGCAGACACTCAACTCCACTGCATTTTGCAGCGGGTTTTAATAGAGTGCCGGTTGTAGAGTACCTATTAGCACATGGCGCTGACGTGCATGCCAAAGACAAAGGGTAATTAATTCACTATTAATGCAATACGAGTTTAATTATCCATTCAATATGCTTTAACATTTACATAGCATTTTAAATTTTTCTTTAGTGTATTCTATCGTTTAGTATTCATCTTTATGTGCAATATAAAACTCTTAATAATATTATATATTATATTCATTTTGATGTAGTGGGTTGGTTCCTCTCCACAACGCTTGTTCTTACGGCCACTACGAGGTTACAGAATTATTGGTAAAACACGGGGCATCCGTGAATGTCGCCGATCTGTGGAAATTTACGCCGCTCCACGAAGCCGCCGCCAAAGGCAAATACGAAATAGTTCGATTATTGTTGAGACACGGAGCGGATGCTACTAAAAAGAACAGAGACGGCGCAACGCCATTAGATTTAGTAAGAGATGGTGATCAGGATGTGGCGGATCTTTTACGTGGAAATAGCGCACTTTTGGATGCAGCGAAGAAGGGTAATTTAGCCAGAGTTCAACGATTGGTCACACAAGACAACATTAATTGTCGGGATGCACAAGGACGTAATAGTACTCCATTACATTTAGCTGGTAATATATCACTTTTGAATATATAAGCGTCAATATAATCTCTTTTTTCTACCGAGATTTGTAAAATGTATTATATAATATTATGATTTTAATTAGAACTTTTAGAAATAAAGTAGAGAGATCTTATACATTTATATAGTACATTTATATAGTAGCAAGGCTTTGTATTTATATATAGACTGTGTTTTTCTTAACACAGCGGGATACAATAACCTGGAAGTGGCTGAATTCTTGCTTGAACGTGGTGCCGATGTAAATGCGCAAGATAAAGGTGGCCTTATTCCTTTGCATAATGCGTCGAGTTATGGTCACTTGGACATTGCAGCCTTGCTCATTAAATACAATACTGTGGTGAATGCGACTGACAAATGGGGATTCACGCCGCTTCATGAAGCTGCGCAAAAGGGTCGAACGCAGTTGTGTGCTCTTTTGCTTGCTCATGGCGCCGATCCCTTTCTGAAAAATCAGGAAGGTCAGACTCCAGTGGATTTGGCCAGTGCGGACGATGTAAGATGTTTATTACAAGATGCTATGGCTTCTCAGCAAATCGTTCCAACAGTTCCATCAGGCAACATAGTGAATAGTGCTGGTGGCAATTCTATTAGCAGTAGGCCACCTAGTATCGTATCCGGTAAGACTTGTTTCTATAATCATAAACCATTTTAAAATTTCCCATAATTTAATTTAATTATAAACTAATAGATTTACAACACAAAAGGGCTGTTTTCAGGAATTATACCTAGATAACTCTAGGGTGCATTTTTGCTATAGTATACGTAACCTATAGCTTAGAGTTATCTAGGCATAATTCCTGAACGCAGCCCTGAATACAGAGATGTACACTGTAGATTCACGTGTACACAAATAATATATTTACTTATAATTTTTATTTTTTTCCAGTTCCTGTAACACCACCACCGCCCCTCACTCAAGAAACAGTTATTATGCCATCTGGTGCAGCTATGACTCTATGCGTACCATTGGCTCCCCCGACAAAATGCCGCCAAGCGAGCC